GGAGACCAGACACGGCATGGGACACAGGCCCTGCTAATGATGATGACAGGGATACCAGACACGGCATGGGACACAGGCCCTGCTAATGATGATGACAGGGATACCAGACACGGCATGGGACACAGGCCCTGCTAACTGCTAATGATGATGACAGGGAGACCAGACACGGCATGGGACACAGGCCCTGCTAATGATGATGACAGGGATACCAGACACGGCATGGGACACAGGCCCTGCTAACTGCTAATGATGATGACAGGGATACCAGACACGGCATGGGACACAGGCCCTGCTAATGATGATGACAGGGATACCAGACACGGCATGGGACACAGGCCCTGCTAATGCTAATGATGATGACAGGGAGACCAGACACGGCATGGGACACAGGCCCTGCTAACTGCTAATGATGATGACAGGGAGACCAGACACGGCATGGGACACAGGCCCTGCTAATGATGATGACAGGGATACCAGACACGGCATGGGACACAGGCCCTGCTAACTGCTAATGATGATGACAGGGAGACCAGACACGGCATGGGACACAGGCCCTGCTAATGATGATGACAGGGATACCAGACACGGCATGGGACACAGGCCCTGCTAACTGCTAATGATGATGACAGGGAGACCAGACACGGCATGGGACACAGGCCCTGCTAATGATGATGACAGGGATACCAGACACGGCATGGGACACAGGCCCTGCTAACTGCTAATGATGATGACAGGGAGACCAGACACGGCATGGGACACAGGCCTTTCTGTTATCTTAATAGCTGATCACTGCTTTATCAGGTACAGGTTGTTATTATCGGCGCTGATTTCCCCTGAGCAGACAGTGATGAGAGAATCGTCAGATTAAGCCTACTAAGCTGTTATTAGCCCACATCAGTCCTTTCTCTCTCTTTGTTTATTATTATTATTAGTTATTTAGCAGACGCTCTTATCCAGAGAGACTTACAGTTAGTGAGTGCATATAAAAAAAAAATTATACTGGCCCCCCGTGGGAAACGAACCCACAACCCTGGCATAATATCAACTGGTTATATTGTATCGTGGAACACAATCTTCAACAAGGCAGTGACCTCAGCAGTGGCGATTGCTTGTAGAAGCCTATGGCTGTGCAACGGCATAGCATTGTTTGTTAATTTAGCAGATTACTCTTAATTCCCGAGCCCTTATCACAGTCGAGACACTTATTTTACAGTAAAAAACATGTAATATAACAGCATCAAATAAAACATTATGTAATATAACAGCATCAAATAAAACATGATTTAATATAACAGCATCAAATAAAACATTATGTAATATAACAGCATCAAATAAAACATGATGTAATATAACAGCATCAAATAAAATGTCGACCTTTGATGCAGGACTCCACCTCGGGGAGCAGTATGTTTTTGTTAGGCAACAAAGACGCCATTGTGGGGCGCTTCTTTGTTCCGGCCCTGCAACGGGTCTTTGAAGCCATTCGCTCGGTCCCCTAATGAGAGAGAAACACACACACCCATGTGGACGAGTGACAACCAGCTGTAGACTACATGATGATAAGCCTACATTAGCACATCTCTACTTGTATATGTGCAGGGCTGGCTCCAGGCTTGTATATGTGCAGGGCTGGCTCCAGGCTTGTATATGTGCAGGGCTGGCTCCAGGCTTGTATATGTGCAGGGCTGGCTCCAGGCTTGTATATGTGCAGGGCTGGCTCCAGGCTTGTATATGTGCAGGGCTGGCTCCAGGCTTGTATATGTGCAGGGCTGGCTCCAGGCTTGTATATGTGCAGGGCTGGCTCCAGGCTTGTATATGTGCAGGGCTGGCTCCAGGCTTGTATATGTGCAGGGCTGGCTCCAGGCTTGTATATGTGCAGGGCTGGCTCCAGGCTTGTATATGTGCAGGGCTGGCTCCAGGCTTGTATATGTGCAGGGCTGGCTCCAGACTTGTATATGTGCAGGGCTGGCTCCAGGCTTGTATATGTGCAGGGCTGGCTCCAGGCTTGTATATGTGCAGGGCTGGCTCCAGGCTTGTATATGTGCAGGGCTGGCTCCAGGCTTGTATATGTGCAAGGCTCCAGGCATAAGCAACATAAACGGTATAAATACAGCATGTAAAGTGTTGGTTCCATGTTTCATGAGTTGAAATAAAAGATCCCAGAAATGTTGCATTAGCAAAAAGATTATTTCTCTCAAATGTTGTGTACAAATTTGTTTTCCGACCCTGTTAGTGAGCATTTCTCCTTTGCCAAGATAATCCATCCATCTGACAGGTGTGACATATCGAGAAGCTGATTAAACAGCATGATCGTTACACAGGTGCACCTTGTGCTGGGGACAAAAGGCCACTCTAAAATGTGCAGTTTTGTCAAACAACACAATGCCACAGATGTCTCAAGTTTTGAGTGAGTTTGCAATTGGTATGCTGACTGCAGGAACGTCCCCCAGACCTGTTGCCAGCCCCATGTAGCTCAGTTGGTAGAGCGTGGCGCTTGCAACGCCAGGGTTGTGGGTTCGATTCCCACGGCGGGGCCAGTATGAAAAATGAATGCACTCACTAACTGTAAGTCGCTCTGGATAAGAGCGTCTGCTAAATGACTAAAATGTAAATAATATAATGTTAATTTCTCTACCATAAGCCGCCTCCAACGTCATTTTAGAGAATTTGGCAGTAGAGCCAACCGGCCTGAGAACCGCAAACCCACGTGGTATGATGTTGTGTCGGCGAACGGTTTGCTGATGTCAACGTAGGGAAAAGAGTGCCCCATGTTGGCTTTGGGGTTATGGTATGGGCAGGCATAAGCTACGGACAACGAACACGGTTACATTTTAGCCATGACAATTTCAATGCACAGAGATACCGTGACGAGATCCTGAGGCCCATTGTCGTGCCATTCATCCACCACCATCACCTCATGTTTCAAATTGATAATGCACGGCCCCATGTCGCAAGGATCTGTACACAATTCCTGGAAGCTGAAAATGTCCCAGTTCTTCCATGGCCTGCATACTCACCAGACACGTCACCCATTGAGCATGTTTGGGATGCTCTGGATAGACGTGTACAATAGCATGTTCCAGTTCCTCTAATATTCAGCAACTTTGCACAGCCATTGAAGAGGAGTGGGACAACATTCCACAGGCCACAATCAACAGGCTGATCAACTCTATGCGAAGGAGATGTGTGGCGCTGCATGAGGCAAATGGTGGTCACACCAGATACTGACTGGTTTTCTGATCCACGCCCCTACTTTTTTAAAGCTGTCTGTGACCAACAGATGCATATCTGTATTCCCAGTCATATGAAATCCATAGATTAGGGCCTAATACATTTATTTCAATTGACTGATTTCCTTATGTGAACTGTAACTCAGTAAAACCTTTGAAAATGTTGCGTTTGATTTTTTTTTTGGTGTGTGTGTGTGTGTGTGTGTGTGTGTGTGTGTGTGTGTGTATTTGTACTGAGTGAAATGAAGATCAGTGTGTAGAACGGGCTATGACGTGGCCTGTGTTGGTGTAGCAGTGTGAACCACTTCTGGAGTACATGTAAAATGTACCACTGCCAGCATGGCTTTGAATCTGGCCCACTGCTCTTTCAGTATATCTCTCGCCTACCTTTCACCTCCATCGCTCTCTATCCAATAAACATACAAATACTTACATGAATAAAGTTTGGACACACCTACTCATTCAAGGGTTATTCTTTATTTGTACTGTTTTCTACATTGTAGAATAATAGTGACGACATCAACTATGAAATAACACATGGAATCATGTTGTAACCAAAAAAGTGTTAAACAAATCAAAATATATTTGAGATTCTTCAAATAGCCACCATTTGCCTTGATGACAGCTTTGCCCACTCTTGGAGTAAGATAGCCCTATTTGGTAAAATACCAAGTCCATATTATGGTAAGAACAGCTCAAATAAGTAACACATCTCAACATCAACTGTTCAGAGGAGACTGCATGAATCAGGCCTTCATGGTCGAATTGCTGCAAAGAAACCACAACTAAAGGACACCAATAAGAAGAAGAGACTTGCTTGGTCCAAGAACCACGAGCAATGGACATTAGACCGGTGGAAAACTGTCCTTTGGTCTGGAGTCCAAATTTGAGATTTTTGATTCCAACCGCTGTGTCTTTGTGAGACGCAGTGTAGGTGAACAGATGATCTCTGCATGTGTATTTCCCACCGTAAAGCATGGAGGTGGTGTTGTTATGGTGTGGGGGTGCTTTGCTGGTGACACGGTCTGTGATTTTATTTAGAATTCAAGGCACACTTAACCAGCATGGCTACCACAGCATTCTGCAGCGATACGCCATCCCATCTGGTTTGGGCTTAGTGGGACTATCATTTGTTTTTCAACAGGACAATGACCCAACACACCTCCAGGCTGTGTAAGGGCAATTTGACCAAGAAGGAGAGTGATTGAGTGTTTCATCAGATGACCTGGCCTCCACAATCCCCCGACCTCAACCCAATTGAGATGGTTTGGGATGAGTTGGACCGCAGAGTGAAGGAAAAGCAGCCAACAAGTGCTCAGCATATGTGGGAACTCCTTTAAGACTGTTGAAAAAGCATTCCAGGTGAAGCTGGTTGAGAGAATGCCAAGAGTGTGCAAAGGGTGGCTATTTGAAGATTCTCATGAAATATATTTTGATTTAACACTTTGGTTATTACATGATTACATATGCGTTGTGCCAGTAACCTAAAGGTCGCTGGTTCTAATCCCTGAGCCGACTAGGTGAAAAATCTGTCGATGTGCCCTTGAGCAAGGCACTTAACCATAATTGCTCATGTAAGTCGCTCTGGATAAGAGCATTTGCTAAATGACTAAAAAATGTTAAAAAAAAATATTCTGTGAGTGCATACATTTTTCATACTGGCCCCCCCACCCCGTGGGAATCGAACCCACAACCCCGGCGTCGCAAGTGCCATGCTCTACCAACTGAGCTACAGGAGGTATTTATGTGTGTGAGGTGCTAACCACTCCTCTCCTCTCTCCAGGTGGCTTCTCAGTGGTGTTCCTGGCCCGGACACACAGTGGCGTGCGCTGCGCTCTCAAGAGGATGTATGTCAACAACGTTCCTGACCTCAACATCTACAAGAGAGAGATCACTATTATGGTGAGAATAGCGCTCTGTGTGTGTGTGTGTGTTTGCATGCGTCCTAACTTGATTTCTTGAGTCTAGTTTATGCAATCCAGAAAATACACTTGCCTGTACCAACCTCTGTAAGAAAGTTAGTTGTTGAACATTGACAAGATGTTGTTTTTCCATGAACTTTTGACCCCGTCTGTAACTGAACAGCTAGTTGTTTTCTGTGGAGTGTGCCGGACTCTGTGCTGACTTTAACAGAGTCACTCTCACACACACACACACACACACACACACACACACCCACACACACACACACCATGTGACCTGATGGAACCATGACACAGTTGTGTCCCGGTGTGACTTCTTGACATGGCTGTAACGGTGCTGTGGAGGTGACATGGCTGTAACGGTACTGTTGAGGTGACATGGCTGTAACGGTACTGTGGAGGTGACATGGCTGTAACGGTGCTGTGGAGGTGACATGGCTGTAACGGTGCTGTGGAGGTGACATGGCTGTAACGGTGCTGTGGAGGTGACATGGCTGTAACGGTACTGTGGAGGTGACGTGGCTGTAACGGTACTGTGGAGGTGACGTGGCTGTAACGGTACTGTGGAGGTGACATGGCTGTAACGGTACTGTGGAGGTGACATGGCTGTAACGGTACTGTGGAGGTGACATGGCTGTAACGGTGCTGTGGAGGTGACATGGCTGTAACGGTGCTGTGGAGGTGGCATGGCTGTAACGGTACTGTGGAGGTGACATGGCTGTAACGGTGCTGTGGAGGTGACGTGGCTGTAACGGTGCTGTGGAGGTGACGTGGCTGTAACGGTACTGTGGAGGTGACATGGCTGGCTGTAACGGTACTGTGGAGGTGACGTGGCTGTAACGGTACTGTGGAGGTGACATGGCTGGCTGTAACGGTACTGTGGAGGTGACGTGGCTGTAACGGTACTGTGGAGGTGACATGGCTGGCTGTAACGGTGCTGTGGAGGTGACATGGCTGTAACGGTACTGTGGAGGTGACATGGCTGTAACGGTGCTGTGGAGGTGGCATGGCTGTAACGGTACTGTGGAGGTGACATGGCTGTAACGGTACTGTGGAGGTGACATGGCTGTAACGGTGCTGTGGGGGTGACTTCTTCACATGGCTGTAACAGGGCCAATAAAGAGTAACGTCGTCATGCTCCCATCACACTGGGAGAGGACCTGTACATAAAGAAACAAAGAACAGCACGTCACAAGCAGCACTGAGTAATGAGGACTTACCGTAAAACTTCAATTAGTAACCTGGTGTTTTTTGTTTATCACTGAACACAACAGGCACTTATTATAGACATGCTTCTATTTGGAGAAAAACAAACTTCCTTGACAATAATTGTTCTCCTCTTTGACTGTGCATTTTTGGCAGTTCTTACTTACACCACTAGATGGCGATCAGCCACTTTCTGGGGGTCTGTGCTCCAGAAGTTGTTGACTGTTTTTGTGCTTGCCAGTTAGCTAGCAGTTCTCAGTTGTAAGCAGCCAATGGCTAGCAGTTTCTTACTGGTTATAAAAACAGATGAGTGCCATTAAAACATGTTCAAGGCATTACTAATTTTATGTAACAAATCAAACATTAAATCTTGTAAATCATTCATGGTGACGTCATAAACAATTCCTTTAGACCTGGTGTTTATTTGAAACAGGCGTTTATTTGCTGAAATGTGTGACGTTGCCCGGCTATTTAAAGGAACAGGTGGATATTTGAGACTGTGTTTTAATTGGACGTTTTATGGTAATTAACTTATGCTCTAATAAGGACCATAGGCCTCTCATGAATGTCCTCCCTCTTCCTCTGAGAATAATGTCTGTTTTCTTCTCCTCTGCAGAAGGAGCTGTCTGGTCATAGGAACATAGTGAACTACCTGGACTCTACCATCAACTCAGTAGGGGACAGTGTCTGGGAGGTTCTCATTCTCATGGAGTACTGTAAAGGTAGGAGTTCTAAGTTCCCCCCCCCTGTGATTTAAATACAATGGACCGGTCATTATTGTTTTATTGAGCATGAGACGGGTGCAAAATAGGCTGTACTGGTTTGAACAAACAAGACCTGTGATTTTATATTGACCCAATAAAGTAGGATTGTAATTTCAACATGATCTCACTTTGTCAATTTTTCTCACTCCTCTTTCTCACCATCTCTCCTCCCTCCCGTTCGCTCGCCCTCTCTCCCGTTCGCTCGCCCTCTCTCCCGCTCTCACCTGCTCCCCCTTCTCCACTTTTTCTCACCCTCCTCTCCTCTCCCACTTCTGCATCACACGCCTCCCTCTCTCTCCCCCCTCCCCCCTCATTCCCTCTCTCCCTCCTCCCCCCAGCTGGTCAGGTAGTGAAGCAGATGAACCAGCGTCTCCATAAAGGGTTTACAGAGCCAGAGGTGTTGACCATCTTCACTGATACCTGTGAGGCTGTGGCCAGGCTGCACCAGTGTAGAACACCTGTCATACACAGGGACCTGAAGGTAAGGGAACTACCAATTCTCTCTCTTCCTCCTCCTTCACCCTTTCCTACTGTCCTCTTGTCACCCTGGAGTCTGTATGTGATGTCATCCTCCAACTCCCTCCTCCTTCCATCTTCCTCCTCCTAATCTCCTCCTCCTCCTCCTCCCTCTTGCTGTCCCAGCACTCTAGGCTGACACCAGACTGGGGGGTTAAGGAACTCCAGAGGGACACAGAGACTGGGAGGCACAGTCACTCACTGATGGGTGAAGTGACACTGCAAAATGCCTTGTCCTGTCATCTACTCTGAGCTGTGTGTGTCTCACTGGGCTTTCTTGCATTTCTCTCTCTCTCTCTGTCTCTCTGTCTCTCTGTCTCTCTGTCTCTCTCTGTATCTCTGTCTCTCTCTGTCTCTCTCTGTCTCTCTCTGTCTCTCTCTGTCTCTCTCTGTCTCTCTCTGTCTCTCTCTGTGTGTCTCTGTGTGTCTCTCTCTCTGTCTCTCTCTCTCTGTCTCTCTCTCTCTGTGTCTCGCTCTCTCTCTCTCTGTGTCTCTCTCTCTCTGTGTCTCGCTCTCTCTCTCTCTGTGTCTCGCTCTCTCGCTCTCTGTGTCTCGCTCTCTCGCTCTCTGTGTCTCGCTCTCTCGCTCTCTGTGTCTCGCTCTCTCTCTCTCTCTCTCCTAAAAGCAAGTGAAATAGATGATAAACAAATAGTTAAAGTACAAAAGGGAAAATAAATCAACATAAATATGGGTTGTATTTACAATGGTGTTTGTTCTTCACTGGTTGCCCTTTTCTTGTGGCAACAGGTCACAAATCGTGCTGCTGTGATGGCACACTGGTTTTTCACCCAGTAGATAAGGGAGTTTATCAAAATTGGTTTTGTTTTCTAATTCTTTGTGGCTCTGTGTAATCTGAGGGAAACATGTGTCTGTAATATGGTCATACATTTGGCAGGAGGTTAGGAAGTGCCGCTCAGTTTCCACCTCATTTTGTGGGCAGTGTGCACATAGCCTGTCTTCTCTTGAGAGCCAGGTCTGCCTATGGCGGCCTTTCTCAATAGCAAGGCTATGCTCACTGAGTCTGTACATAGTCAAAGATGTCCTTATGTTTGGGTCAGTCTCAGTGGTCAGGTATTCTGCCACTGTGTACTCTCTGTTTAGGGCCAAATAGCATTCTAGTTTGCTCAGTTTTTTTTGTTAATTCTTTCCAATGTGTCAAGTAATTTATATTTTTGTTTTCTCATGATTTGGTTGGGTCTAATAGTGTTGCTGTCCTGGGGCTCTGTGGGGTCTGTTTGTGTTTGTGAACAGAGGCCCAGGACAAGCTTACTTAGGGGACTCTTCTCCAGGTTCATCTCTCTGTAGGTGATGGCTTTGATAAGGAGGGTTTGGGAATCGCTTTTTTTTAGGTGGTTATAGAATTTAACGGCTCTTTTCTGGATTTTGATAATTAGCGGGTATCGGCCTAATTCTGCTCAGCATGCATTATTTGGTGTTTGACGTTGTACACAGAGGATATTTTTGCAGAATTTTGCATGCAGTCTCAATTTTGGTGTTTGTCCCATTTTGTGAATTCTTGGTTGGTGAGTGGAACCCAGACCTCTCTCTCCCCTTCCTCTGTCTCAGTACATTCAGTCTTGGCAAATCTCTGCTGTGAGCTAAAATAAAGTGCCAACATAACGAGGCCTGTCCACAGCTGGTGAATAAGCTAGTTCTCTATTGGCCACTCTGTCCACGGCTGGTGAATAAGCTTCTTCTCTATTGGCTAGTATGTCCATGGCCTGTGAATACACTGGCTTTTTATTGGCCAGCCTCTGGGGAAAATGCAGCTACTTCACAAGGACAATGTTATATCCTAGCTTTATCCTCAAAGCACACCTTCAATCAAGCTGACAATAATATTTAGCTCGAGCTCCCTCCTCTCTCTCTCTCTCTCTCTGGCAGGTAGAGAACATCCTCCTGAGTGATAATGGGAGTTATGTTCTGTGTGATTTCGGAAGTGCTTCTCACAAGGTGCTGCTCCCACACAAAGACGGAGTGACTGCCGTGGAGGACGAAATCAAGAAGTGAGTGAGTGGGGGTATGTGAGTGGGGGTATGTGAGTACACCCAGGTGATTGTCTTGCGTGTAGCTACATAGCAACAGTGCACCCCTCGTCACGTCATCACTAAATCTGAACTGTCCGACGGATCCACGCTCTTTGCTCTGCTTTAGTTCCAGTTATACGCTGAGTGTACTAAACATTAAGAACACCTTCCTCCCCGGCTGGGGGGGGGCTGTGCGCACATGAAGAGCTGAGTGAAAGATGTATTTTTAAAAGGCATAAAAGTTGGTCCACTGAAGTGAGACTTTGTCCTTGTGTTTCTTGGCTATTTACAGTGGGGGAAAAAAGTATTTGATCCCCTGTTGATTTTGTACGTTTGCCCACTGACAAAGAAATGATCAGTCTATAATTTTAATGGTAGGTTTATTTGAACAGTGGGAGACAGAATAACAACAACAAAATCCAGAAAAACACATGTCAAAAATGTTATAAATTGATTTGCATTTTAATGAGGGAAATAAGTATTTGACCCCTTCTCAATCAGAAAGATTTCTGGCTCCCAGGTGTCTTTTATACAGGTAACGAGCTGAGATTAGGAGCACACTCTTAAAGGGAGTGCTCCTAATCTCAGCTTGTTACCTGTATAAAAGACAACTGTCCACAGAAGCAATCAATCAATCAGATTCCAAACTCTCCACCATGGCCAAGACCAAAGAGCTCTCCAAGGATGTCAGGGACAAGATTGTAGACCTACACAAGGCTGGATTGGGCTACAAGACCATCGCCAAGCAGCTTGGTGAGAAGGTGACAACAGTTGGTGCGATTATTCGCAAATGGAAGAAACACAAAATAACTGTCAATCTCCCTCAGCCTGGGGCTCCATGCAAGATATCACCTCGTGGAGTTGCAATGATTATGAGAACGGTGAGGAATCAGCCCAGAACTACACGGGAGGATCTTGTCAATGATCTCAAGGCAGCTGGGACCATAGTCACCAAGAAAACAATTGGTAACACACTACGCCGTGAAGGACTGAAATCCTGCAGCGCCCGCAAGGTCCCCCTGCTCAAGAGAGCACATATACAGGCCTGTCTAAAGTTTGCCAATTAACATCTGAATGATTCAGAGGAGAATTGGGTGTGGTCAGATGAGACCAAAATCGAGGTCTTTGGCATCAACTCAACTCGCCGTGTTTGGAGGAGGAGGAATGCTGCCTATGACCCCAAGACCACCATCCCCATCGTCAAACATGGAGGTGGAAACATTATGCTTTGGGGGTGTTTTTCTGCTAACGGGACAGGACAACTTCACCGCATCAAAGGGACAATGGACGGGGCCATGTACCGTCAAATCTTGGGTGAGAATCTCCTTCCCTCAGCCAGGGCATTGAAAATGGGTCGTGGATGGGTATTCCAGCATGACAATGATCCAAAACACACGGCCAAGGCAACAAAGGAGTGGCTCAAGAAGAAGCACATAAAGGTCCTGGAGTGGCCTAGCCAGTCTCCAGACCTTAATCCCAGAGAAAATCTGTGGAGGGAGCTGAAGGTTCGAGTTGCCAAACGTCAGCCTCGAAACCTTAATGACTTGGAGAAGATCTGCAAAGAGGAGTGGGACAAAATCCCTCCTGAGATGTGTGCAAACCTGGTGGCCAACTACAAGAAACGTCTGACCTCTGTGATTGCCAACAACTGTTTTGCCATCAAGTACTAAGTCATGTTTTGCAGAGGGGTCAAATACTTATTTCCCTCATTAAAATGCAAATCAATTTATAACATTTTTGACATGCGTTTTTCTGGATTTTTTTGTTGTTATTCTGTCTCTCACTGTTGAAATAAACCTACCATTAAAATTATAGACTGATCATGTCTTTGTCAGTGGGCAAACGTACAAAACCAGCAGGGGATCAAATACTTTTTTCCCTCACTGTACATGGTTTTGTTCACAAGCCAGGTCGTTTTTCAATGTTTGAGTTTCAACTGCTAGGAAACGGAAGACAACGCTGCTACTAGTCAGACTCTCAATCTCACACGAACATGACTGGAGTGGCGTTACCACGGTAACCTCCCGCCCCTTAAAGGGGCAGGTGAACATATTTGTCTCATCTGTGATTTTGGTTAAAAGACAAGTCACAAAAATGTAAATGTAAGCAATTTACCACATGACGTCTTACTAGTAATACCCTTATTGTTGTAGAAACATTACAGGGCATGCTCCTCCGTTTCTGTGTGTTTTGTTGGTGTTATTTTGGCGGCAAACAAAATATTTTGGCTGGTTAAAAAATCTACCTGCCGCAGTGGGCTGGTGGACCAACTAGTTAGTTTTATACTCTGGTTCTTAATGTTCTGTATTACTCAGTGGAAGTCACCACTCTGCTCCATACATCCAGGCACTTTAGCCAGCCACTGGACTAATACATAGGACTAATTTCTCAGAAGGCAGTGCACTACAGAGGGTGCCATCAGCCTCAGAAGGCAGTGCACTACAGAGGGTGCCATCGGCCTCAGAAGGCAGTGCACTACAGAGGGTGCCATCAGCCTCAGAAGGCAGTGCACTACAGAGGGTGCCATCGGCCTCAGAAGGCAGTGCACTACACTCTTACATACCGTTACTGCATAAATAACCTTTAACCCTGACCACTTCCTGTGTGTGTAGGTACACCACCCTGTCATATCGAGCTCCAGAGATGATCAACGTGTACGCAGGGAAAGCCATTACCACCAAGGCTGATATATGGGTAAGTTGGAAGCGGTGGGGGGTGTTTAAACGTGTGTGGTGTTTCTACATATATGTAGGTTTGTGTGTGTGTGTGTGTGGACTAGCCAGTCAGTAACAGAAGAGCTTAGTGTGTGTGTGTGTGTGTGTGTGTTTGTTTGTGCGTGTATTGGTCCAGGCAGTTTTCCTGTAAGGCCAGTTAGGCCTCATGCTTCCTTAGCTCTGGCTGGCTGGCTGTCTGTCCTGTCTGTCTGTCCTGGCTGGCTGGCTGTCTGTCTGTCCTGTCTGTCTGTCAAGCAAGCCCAACAGGTTTCGTGAGTGTGTGTGTGTGGCTGTGTGTGCTCTTGGTTGCTGGTTGTACAAGCTGTGTTTCTCTGTTTCAGGCTCTCGGTTGCTTGTTGTACAAGCTGTGTTTCTCTGTTTCAGGCTCTCGGTTGCTTGTTGTACAAGCTGTGTTTCTTCTCTCTCCCGTTCGGGGAGAGTCAAGTCGCCATATGTGACGGAACCTTTATCGTTCCTGACAATTCCAAATTCTCCTTCAAGTTGCACTGCCTAATCAGTAAGTAGAAGGACCCTGTTCCTCACACCACACTAACCACCAAGCTGTCAATCAATATAAAAACAATTACACCACATTGACCAATTGTCTTGTGAATGTTTCTGATGTGTAAACATGTAACTTTCCAAATAATGTATCATTCAGACTATCATTCATTGTTTATACACCCACTGTCAGCCTTTTAGTACAAATATTAGCTAATAGCGCCACTTTGTGGTCAAGAGAGAGATGCATTGTACCATGGTGATAATGCCTCAGAGGTAGTTATATATTTACATTCACTCTGTAACCAATGTAACATGTACATGTCTTCTCTGGTTTGTTGGTGATACTATATATGTCTCCTCTTCTCCAGGATATATTAAACTATATGTCCCCTCTTCTCCAGGATATATTAAACTATATGTCCCCTCTTCTCCAGGATATATTAAACTATATGTCCCCTCTTCTCCATAATATATTAAACTATATGTCTCCTCTTCTCCATAATATATTAAACTATATGTCCCCTCTTCTCCATAATATATTAAACTATGTCTCCTCTTCTCCATAATATATTAAACTATATGTCTCCTCTTCTCCATAATATATTAAACTATATGTCTCCTCTTCTCCATAATATATTAAACTATATGTCCCCTCTTCTCCATAATATATTAAACTATATGTCTCCTCTTCTCCATAATATATTAAACTATATGTCCCCTCTTCTCCATAATATATTAAACTATATGTCTCCTCTTCTCCATAATATATTAAACTATATGTCCCCTCTTCTCCATAATATATTAAACTATATGTCTCCTCTTCTCCATAATATATTAAACTATATGTATCCTCTTCTCCATAATATATTAAACTATATGTCTCCTCTTCTCCATAATATATTAAACTATATGTCTCCTCTTCTCCATAATATATTAAACTATGTCTCCTCTTCTCCATAATATATTAAACTATATGTCTCCTCTCCTCCAGGCTATATTTAAGCAATAAGGCACGAGAAGGTGTGGTATATGGCCAATATACCACAGCTTAGGGCTGTTCTTAAGCACGACGCAACGTGGAGTGCCTGGACACATCCCTTAGCTGTGGTATATTGGCCATATACCACAAACTCCCGAGGTGCCTTAATGCTATAAACTTCTTACCAACATCATTAGAACAGTAAAATAACTGTTTTGTCATACCCGTGGTATACGGACTGATACACCACGGCTGTCAGCCAATCAGCATTCAGGGCTCGAACCACCCAGTTTATAATAAACTATATGTCTCCTCTTCTCCATAATATATTAAACTATATGTCCCCTCTTCTCCATAATATATTAAACTATATGTCTCCTCTTCTCCATAATATATTAAACTATATGTATCCTCTTCTCCAGGATATATTAAACTATATGTCCCCTCTTCTCCATAATATATTAAACTATATGTCCCCTCTTCTCCATAATATATTAAACTATATGTCTCCTCTTCTCCATAATATATTAAACTATATGTCCCCTCTTCTCCATAATATATTAAACTATATGTATCCTCTTCTCCATAATATATTAAACTATATGTCTCCTCTTCTCCATAATATATTAAACTACATGTCCCCTCTTCTCCATAATATATTAAACTATATGTCCCCTCTTCTCCATACTATATTAAACTATATGTCTCCTCTTCTCCATACTATATTAAACTATATGTCCCCTCTTCTCCATAATATATTAAACTATATGTCCCCTCTTCTCCATAATATATTAAACTATATGTCTCCTCTTCTCCATAATATATTAAACTATATGTCCCCTCTTCTCCAGGATATATTAAACTATATGTCCCCTCTTCTCCAGGATATATTAAACTATATGTCCCCTCTTCTCCATAATATATTAAACTATATGTCCCCTCTTCTCCATAATATATTAAACTATGTCTCCTCTTCTCCATAATATATTAAACTATATGTCTCCTCTTCTCCATAATATATTAAACTATATGTCTCCTCTTCTCCATAATATATTAAACTATATGTCCCCTCTTCTCCATAATATATTAAACTATATGTCCCCTCTTCTCCATAATATATTAAACTATATGTCCCCTCTTCTCCATAATATATTAAACTATATGTCCCCTCTTCTCCATAATATATTAAACTATATGTATCCTCTTCTCCATAATATATTAAACTATATGTCTCCTCTTCTCCATATAATATTAAACTATATGTCCCCTCTTCTCCAGGATATATTAAACTATATGTCTCCTCTTCTCCATAATATATTAAACTATATGTCCCCTCTTCTCCATAATATATTAAACTATATGTCCCCTCTTCTCCAGGATATATGCTTGAGCCTGATCATGAGAAGAGACCAGATATCTATCAAGTCTCCTACTTTGCCTTCAAGTTAGCTGGAAAGGAGTGTCCCGTGCCAAATCTCTTTGTAAGTCACAGTTCATTCGTTGTGACCGATGTATTTGTACTGAGTGAAATGAAGGTCAGTGTGTAGAATGGGCTATGATGTGGCCTGTGTTGGTGTAGCAGTGTGAACCACTTCTGGAGTACATGTAAAATGTACCGCTGCCAGCGTGGCTTTGAATCTGGCCCACTGCTCTTTCAGTACATCTCTCGCCTACCTTTCACCTCCATCGCTCTCTATCCAATAAACATACAAATACTTATATGAATAAAGACTTATGACTTAATATATATATATATATATATATATATATATATATATATATAGTGGCAGATCAGGGTGTTGGGTCAAGACGTTTACACAGATCAGACACGGACAGAGTATGATTAGCTCGGTTTCAAGGGTGTTTATTAATACAATAATCAAAAGGAAAGGTTAAGGTCTCCGGCTACACAGAAGTGACCTTACTTCCCCCAGTCCTCTCCCATGTGCTGCCCTTCTGACAGCTTTATGGGCCTTGCACAGCTGTTGAGCAATCTGCCCTTAATTACTCACCAGCTCCCAGTTAGGCCTGTCTGGGAGCCTGTCGATGCCTGGCACGTCCAGCAGATGGAGCCACCGCCTTGTGATGTATCCTCCATCTGTCACCAGGCCTCGACGAGTCTCCCCCTGGTGGCTGACCTGCTGTACGCCACTATATATATATGGTTGGATCTGTCAACACATGGTTGGATCTGTCCCTCTGCAGAGCTCTCCCCATGATGCTCCATGAGTTAGTTAGGGTTAGATGCTAGTTGTCTAACATCATGATTTGTCTCCTCCCAACGTCACTTCCTGAGTTAGTTAGGGTTAGATGCTAGTTGTCTAACATATGATTTGTCTCCTGCAGAGCTCTCCTCTCCCGACGTCACTTCCTGAGCCACTCACAGCCAGCGAGGTTGCTGCTAGGAAGAGCAAGACGAAAGCCAGGTACAGTCACATGTCACTGTGTTATAGATATTCTGTAACATTTTCAGATCTCTAGCAAAAGGGATTTAATCTCAAGGAGAATGTATAAATATAGGTTATGTGAAAGAGAAGTCATACATTTTCCACTAAGTGTTCTTCTGGTTACCACTTTTTCAGAATCACAGAGTCCGTGGGCCCGACGGCAACTTCAATCACTCCGAGACAGAGACCCAAAGCTGCCAACAGTAATGTGCTACCCATCCCTGTAGCCAACACTGCTGTCACCCCAATCGCTTTCACGCCCATCGTCACCCCCACGGCTGTGCCTTCTGTACCTGTTAGCAATGGGCAGAAAGGTGAGAGTTCAAAAGTACTGTGTGTGTGTGTGTGTGTTTATCTGCCGTTGTGCCCTTGAGCAAGACACTGAACCCCTAAGCGGCTCTCTCTCCCCCCATGGGCAATGCACCTTGGCTGATCCTGTGCATCTCACTGTGTGTGCATTGTTTTGGGGGGGGAGTTGACAATAGCCTCGCAGAGCCGCCTGATCCCGCAAGCTTACACTTCCCGGACGAGCTAAACACATTCTTTGTACGCTTCGAGGAAAACAACATTAACGCTCAAGAGGACTGTGTGCTCTCGTTCTCCGTGGTCGACGTGAGTAAGTCATTTAAGTGTGTTAACCCTCGCAAGGCTGCCGGCCCAGACGGCATCCCAAGCTGCGTCCTCAGACCAGCTGGCTGGAGGGTTTACTGACATATTCAATCTCTCCATATCCCAGTCTGTTGTCCCTACTTGCTTCAAGATGTCCACGATTGTTCCTGTACCCAAGAAAGCGAAGGTATAACTGAACTAAATGACTATCGCCCCATTAGCACTCACCTCTGTCATCATGAAGTGCTTTGAGAGGCTAGTCAATTTTCATATCACCTTACCTGCCACCCTAGATACACTCCAATTCGCATATCGCCCCAAAAGATCCATGGACAACGCAATCGCCATCACACTGCACACTGCCCTATCCCATCTGGACAAGAGGAATACCTATGTAAGAATGCTGTTCATTGACTATAGCTCAGCCTTCAACAGGATAGTGCCCTCCAAGCTCATCATTAAGCTTGGGGCCCTGGGTCTGAACCACACCCTTTGTAACTGGGTCCTGGACTTCCTGACGGGCCGCCCCCAGGTGATGAAGGTAGGCAACAACACCACTACACTGATCCTCAACACAGGGGCCCCACAGGGGCGTGTGCTCAGCCCCCTCCAGTACTCCCTGTTCACCCACAACTGTGTGGGCACGCACGTCTCCAACTTAATCATCAAGTTTGCTGATTACATAAGTGGTAGACCTGATTACCAACAACGATGAGACGGCCTACAGGGAGGAGGTGAGGGCCCTGGCGGAGTGGTGCCAGGAAAATAACCTCTCTCTCTCAATGTCAACAAAACAAAGGAGCAGATCGTGGACTTCAGGAGACAGCAGAGGGAACACACCCCCATCCACATCGACTGGGCCGCAGTGGAGAGGGTCAAAAGCTTCAGCGTTAACATTGACAACCTGAAATGGTCCCTTCACACAGACAGGCTGAGAAAATGTGTCTCGTCTCCTAAGACCCTCACAAACTTCTACAAATGCACCATTGAGAGCATCCTGTACGGGAATCGCACCGTCCGCAACCTCAGGGCTCTCCAGAGGGTGGTGCATTCAGCCCAACGCCCTCCAGGACATCTAGGGCACCCGGTGTCACGGGAAGGCCAAGAAGATCATCATCAAGGACCTTAGCCACCTGAGCCACGGCCTGTTCACCCCGCTACCATCCAGCGGTGCATGAAAGCTGGGATCAATAGACTGATGAACAGCTTCTATCTCCAGGCCATCAGACTGTTAAACAGCCAACACCAGCTGGCCTCCACCCAGTACCCTGCTTAGTAACTGTTACTAGCGGCTACCACCGGGTCCTCAACCCTGCACCTTAGAAACCACTGCCCTATGTGCATAGTCACTGAACCCTTTAATAATGTTTACATACTGTTTTACCTACTTGATATGTGTATTCTAGTCAAGGCTCATCCTATATAACTACTGCTGGACACTCCTTTTCTATTCACATAGTGTCCATAATGTCTATACACACCATCCTGTTTAACTACTGCTGTACACTCCTTTTCTATTCACATAGTGTCCATAATGTCTATACACACCATCCTGTTTAACTACTGCTGTACACTCCTTTTCTATTCACATAGTGTCCATAATGTCTATACACACCATCCTGTTTAACTACTGCTGTACACTCCTTTTCTATTCACATAGTGTCCATAATGTCTATACACACCATCCTGTTTAACTACTGCTGTACACTCCTTTTCTATTCACATAGTGTTCATAATGTCTATACACACCATACTGTTTAACTACCGCTGTACACTCCTTTTCTATTCACATAGTGTCCATAATGTCTATACACACCATCCTGTTTAACTACTGCTGTACACTCCTTTTCTATTCACATAGTGTCCATAATGTCTATACACACCATCCTGTTTAACTACTGCTGTACACTCCTTTTCTATTCACATAGTGTCCATAATGTCTATACACACCATCCTGTTTAACTACTGCTGTACACTCCTTTTCTATTCACATAGTGTCCATAATGTCTATACACACCATCCTGTTTAACTACTGCTGTACACCCCTTTTCTATTCACATAGTGTCCATAATGTCTATACACACCATTCTGTTTAACTACTGCTGTACACTCCTTTTCTATTCACATAGTGTCCATAATGTCTATACACACCATCCTGTTTAACTACTGCTGTACACTCCTTTTCTATTCACATAGTGTCCATAATGTCTATACACACCATCCTGTTTAACTACTGCTGTACACTCCTTTTCTATTCACATAGTGTCCATAATGTCTATACACACCATCCTGTTTAACTACTGCTGGACACTCCTTTTCTATTCACATAGTGTCCATAATGTCTATACACACCATCCTGTTTAACTACTGCTGTACACCCCTTTTCTATTCACATAGTGTCCATAATGTCTATACACACCATCCTGTTTAACTACTGCTGTACACACCTTTTCTATTCACATAGTGTCCATAATGTCTATACACACCATCCTGTTTAACTACTGCTGTACACTCCTTTTCTATTCACATAGTGTCCATAATGTCTATACACACCATCCTGTTTAACTACTGCTGTACACTCCTTTTCTATTCACATAGTGTCCATAATGTCTATACACACCATCCTGTTTAACTACTGCTGTACACTCCTTTTCTATTCACATAGTGTCCATAATGTCTATACACACCATCCTGTTTAACTACTGCTGTACACTCCTTTTCTATTCACATAGTGTCCATAATGTCTATACACACCATCCTGTTTAACTACTGCTGTACACTCCTTTTCTATTCACAGTGTCCATAATGTCTATACACACCATCCTGTTTAACTACTGCTGTACACTCATTTTCTATTCACATAGTGTCCATAATGTCTATACACACCATCCTGTTTAACTACTGCTGTACACTCCTTTTCTATTCACATACTGTCCATACTGTCTATACACACCATCCTGTTTAACTACTGCTGTACACTCCTTTTCTATTCACATAGTGTCCATAATGTCTATACACACCATCCTGTTTAACTACTGCTGTACACTCCTTTTCTATTCACATAGTGTCCATAATGTCTATACACACCATTCTGTTTAACTACTGCTGTACACTCCTTTTCTATTCAGTGTCCATAATGTCTATACACACCATCCTGTTTAACTACTGCTGTACACTCCTTTTCTATTCACATAGTGTCCATAATGTCTATACACACCACCCTGTTTAACTACTGCTGTACACTCCTTTTCTATTCACATAGTGTCCATAATGTCTATACACACCATCCTGTTTAACTACTGCTGTACACTCCTTTTCTATTCACATACTGTCCATAATGTCTATACACACCATCCTATATAACTACTGCTGTACACTCCTTTTCTATTCACATAGTGTCCATAATGTCTATACACACCATCCTGTTTAACTACTGCTGTACACTCCTTTTCTATTCACATAGTGTCCATAATGTCTATACACACCATCCTGTTTAACTACTGCTGTACACTCCTTTTCTATTCACATAGTGTCCATAATGTCTATACACACCATCCTGTTTAACTACTGCTGTACACTCCTTTTCTATTCACATAGTGTCCATAATGTCTATACACACCATCCTGTTTAACTACTGCTGTACACTCCTTTTCTATTCACATAGTGTTCATAATGTCTATACACACCATCCTGTTTAACTACCGCTGTACACTCCTTTTCTATTCACATAGTGTCCATAATGTCTATACACACCATCCTGTTTAATTACTGCTGTACACGCCTTTTCTATTCACATAGTGTCCATAATGTCTATACACACCATCCTGTTTAACTACTGCTGTACACTCCTTTTCTATTCACATAGTGTCCATAATGTCTATACACACCATCCTGTTTAACTACTGCTGTACACTCCTTTTCTATTCACATAGTGTCCATAATGTCTATACACACCATCCTATATAACTACTGCTGTACACTCCTTTTCTATTCACATAGTGTCCATAATGTCTATACACACCATCCTGTTTAACTACTGCTGTACACTCCTTTTCTATTCACATAGTGTCCATAATGTCTATACACACCATCCTGTTTAACTACTGCTGGACACTCCTTTTCTATTCACATAGTGTCCATAATGTCTATACACACCATCCTGTTTAACTACTGCTGTACACTCCTTTTCTATTCACATAGTGTCCATAATGTCTATACACACCATCCTGTTTAACTACTGCTGTACACTCCTTTTTCTATTCACATAGTGTTCATAATGTCTATACACACCATCCTGTTTAACTACCGCTGTACACTCCTTTTCTATTCACATAGTGTCCATAATGTCTATACACACCATCCTGTTTAACTACTGCTGTACACTCCTTTTCTATTCACATAGTGTCCATAATGTCTATACACACCATCCTGTTTAAACTACTGCTGTACACTCCTTTTCTATTCACATAGTGTCCATAATGTCTATACACACCATCCTGTTTAACTACTGCTGTACACCCCTTTTCTATTCACATAGTGTCCATAATGTCTATACACACCATTCTGTTTAACTACTGCTGTACACTCCTTTTCTATTCACATAGTGTCCATAATGTCTATACACACCATCCTGTTTAACTACTGCTGTACACTCCTTTTCTATTCACATAGTGTCCATAATGTCTATACACACCATCCTGTTTAACTACTGCTGGACACTCCTTTTCTATTCACATAGTGTCCATAATGTCTATACACACCATCCTGTTTAACTACTGCTGTACACACCTTTTCTATTCACATAGTGTCCATAATGTCTATACACACCATCCTGTTTAACTACTGCTGTACACACCTTTTCTATTCACATAGTGTCCATAATGTATATACACACCATCCTGTTTAACTACTGCTGTACACTCCTTTTCTATTCACATAGTGTCCATAATGTCTATACACACCATCCTGTTTAACTACTGCTGTACACTCCTTTTCTATTCACATAGTGTCCATAATGTCTATACACACCATCCTGTTTAACTACTGCTGTACACTCCTTTTCTATTCACATAGTGTCCATAATGTCTATACACACCATCCTGTTTAACTACTGCTGTACACTCCTTTTCTATTCACATAGTGTCCATAATGTCTATACACACCATCCTGTTTAACTACTGCTGTACACTCCTTTTCTATTCACAGTGTCCATAATGTCTATACACACCATCCTGTTTAACTACTGCTGTACACTCCTTTTCTATTCACATAGTGTCCATAATGTCTATACACACCATCCTGTTTAACTACTGCTGTACACTCCTTTTCTATTCACATAGTGTCCATACTGTCTATACACACCATCCTGTTTAACTACTGCTGTACACTCCTTTTCTATTCACATAGTGTCCATACTGTCTATACACACCATCCTGTTTAACTACTGCTGTACACTCCTTTTCTATTCACATAGTGTCCATAATGTCTATACACACCATCCTGTTTAACTACTGCTGTACACTCCTTTTCTATTCAGTGTCCATAATGTCTATACACACCATCCTGTTTAACTACTGCTGTACACTCCTTTTCTATTCACATAGTGTCCATAATGTCTATACACACCATCCTGTTTAACTACTGCTGTAAACTCCTTTTCTATTCACAGTGTCCATAATGTCTATACACACCATCCTGTTTAACTACTGCTGTACACTCCTTTTCTATTCACATAGTGTCCATAATGTCTATACACACCATCCTGTTTAACTACTGCTGTACACTCCTTTTCTATTCACATAGTGTCCATTATGTCTATACACACCATCCTGTTTAACTACTGCTGTACACACCTTTTCTATTCACATAGTGTCCATAATGTCTATACACACCATCCTGTTTAACTACTGCTGTACACTCCTTTTCTATTCACATAGTGTCCATAATGTCTATACACACCATCCTGTTTAACTACTGCTGTACACACCTTTTCTATTCACATAGTGTCCATAATATCTATACACACCATCCTGTTTAACTACTGCTGTACACTCCTTTTCTATTCACATAGTGTCCATAATGTCTATACACACCATCCTGTTTAACTACTGCTGTACACACCTTTTCTATTCACATAGTGTCCATAATGTCTATACACACCATCCTGTTTAACTACTGCTGTACACTCCTTTTCTATTCACATAGTGTCCATAATGTCTATACACACCATCCTGTTTAACTACTGCTGTACACACCTTTTCTATTCACATAGTGTCCATAATATCTATACACACCATCCTGTTTAACTACTGCTGTACACTCCTTTTCTATTCACATAGTGTCCATAATGTCTATACACACCATCCTGTTTAACTACTGCTGTACACTCCTTTTCTATTCACATAGTGTCCATAATGTCTATACACACCATCCTGTTTAACTACTGCTGTACACTCCTTTTCTATTCACATAGTGTCCATAATGTCTATACACACCATCCTGTTTAACTACTGCTGTACACTCCTTTTCTATTCACATAGTGTCCATAATGTCTATACACACCATCCTGTTTAACTACTGCTGTACACTCCTTTTCTATTCACATAGTGTCCATAATGTCTATACACACCATCCTGTTTAACTACTGCTGGACACTCCTTTTCTATTCACATAGTGTCCATAATGTCTATACACACCATCCTGTTTAACTACTGCTGTCCACTCCTTTTCTATTCACATAGTGTCCATAATGTCTATACACACCATCCTGTTTAACTACTGCTGTCTACTCCCTTTCTATTCACATAGTGTCCATAATGTCTATACACACCATCCTGTTTAACTACTGCTGTACACTCCTTTTCTATTCACATAGTATCCATAATGTCTATACACACCATCCTGTTTAACTACTGCTGTACACTCCTTTTCTATTCACATAGTGTCCATAATGTCTATACACACCATCCTGTTTAACTACTGCTGTACACTCCTTTTCTATTCACATAGTGTCCATAATGTCTATACACACCATCCTGTTTAACTACTGCTGTACACTCCTTTTCTATTCACATAGTGTCCATAATGTCTATACACACCATCCTGTTTAACTACTGCTGTAAACTCCTTTTCTATTCACATAGTGTCCATAATGTCTATACACACCATCCTGTTTAACTACTGCTGTACACGCCTTTTCTATTCACATAGTGTCCATAATGTCTATACACACCATCCTGTTTAACTACTGCTGTACACTCCTTTTCTATTCACATAGTGTCCATAATGTCTATACACACCATCCTGTTTAACTACTGCTGTACACTCCTTTTCTATTCACATAGTGTCCATAATGTCTATACACACCATCCTGTTTAACTACTGCTGTCCACTCCTTTTCTATTCACATAGTGTCCATAATGTCTATACACACCATCCTGTTTAACTACTGCTGTCCACTCCTTTTCTATTCACATAGTGTCCATAATGTCTATACACACCATCCTGTTTAACTACTGCTGTACACTCCTTTTCTATTCACATAGTGTCCATAATGTCTATACACACCATCCTGTTTAACTACTGCTGTACACTCCTTTTCTATTCACATAGTGTCCATAATGTCTATACACACCATCCTGTTTAACTACTGCTGTACACTCCTTTTCTATTCACATAGTGTCCATAATGTCTATACACACCATCCTGTTTAACTACTGCTGTCCACTCCTTTTCTATTCACATAGTGTCCATAATGTCTATACACACCATCCTGTTTAACTACTGCTGTACACTCCTTTTCTATTCACATAGTGTCCATAATGTCTATACACACCATTCTGTTTAACTACTGCTGTACACTCCTTTTCTATTCACATAGTGTCCATAATGTCTATACACACCATCCTGTTTAACTACTGCTGTACACTCCTTTTCTATTCACATAGTGTCCATAATGTCTATACACACCATCCTGTTTAACTACTGCTGTACACTCCTTTTCTATTCACATAGTGTCCATAATGTCTATACACACCATCCTGTTTAACTACTGCTGTACACGCCTTTTCTATTCACATAGTGTCCATAATGTCTATACACACCATCCTGTTTAACTACTGCTGTACACTCCTTTTCTATTCACATAGTGTCCATAATGTCTATACACACCATCCTGTTTAACTACTGCTGTACACTCCTTTTCTATTCACATAGTGTCCATAATGTCTATACACACCATCCTGTTTAACTACTGCTGTACACACCTTTTCTATTCACATAGTGTCCATAATGTCTATACACACCATCCTGTTTAACTACTGCTGTACACTCCTTTTCTATTCACATAGTGTCCATAATGTCTATACACACCATCCTGTTTAACTACTGCTGTTCACTCCTTTTCTATTCACATAGTGTCCATAATGTCTTTACACACCATCCTGTTTAACTACTGCTGTACACACCTTTTCTATTCACATAGTGTCCATAATGTCTATACACACCATCCTATATAACTACTGCTGTACACACCTTTTCTATTCACATAGTGTCCATAATGTCTATACACACCATCCTGTTTAACTACTGCTGTACACTCCTTTTCTATTCACATAGTGTCCATAATGTCTTTACACACCATCCTGTTTAACTACTGCTGTACACTCCTTTTCTATTCACATAGTGTCCATAATGTCTATACACACCATCCTGTTTAACTACTGCTGTACACTCCTTTTCTATTCACATAGTGTCCATAATGTCTATACACACCATCCTGTTTAACTACTGCTGTACACTCCTTTTCTATTCACATAGTGTCCATAATGTCTATACACATCATCCTGTTTAACTACTGCTGGACACTCCTTTTCTGTTCACATAGTGTCCATAATGTCTATACACACCATCCTGTTTAACTACTGCTGTTCACTCCTTTTCTATTTATTTACTGTCTATATTTTTGGAGATTATGTGTATTGTATTATTACTGCACTGTTGGAGCTGGGAACACAAGCATTTAGCTAGGTATTACTGCACTGTTGGAGCTAGAAACACAAGCATTTAGCTAGGTATTACTGCACTGTTGGAGCTAGAAACACAAGCATTTAGCTAGGTATTACTGCACTGTTGGAGCTGGGAACACAAGCATTTAGCTAGGTATTACTACACTGTTGGAGCTGGGAACACAAGCATTTAGCTAGGTATTACTGCACTGTTGGAGTTAGGAACACAAGCATTTAGCTAGGTATTACTGCACTGTTGGAGCTGGGAACACAAGCATTTAGCTAGGTATTACTGCACTGTTGGAGCTGGGAACACAAGCATTTAGCTAGATATTACTACACTGTTGGAGCTAGAAACACAAGCATTTAGCTGCTCCTGCAATAACGTCTGCAAATCTGTGTACGCGACTTGATTTACATTAATCGCTGCACAGATATTTGAAAGTAACTTGCGGGATCAGGCGGCTTTGTGAGGCTAGGTTGACAAAGAACAGGAGACAAATGTCAGGTTTTTCACAAAATGGACAATAAAGTATCTCTATGCTTATCACAGCGACTACCCCAGGGAACGGGCAGCCGGTGGCTCCGCAGACAGCCAACAGGATCCTCCAACAGCTGCAACCTGGAGACCTGCGTCTGCAACAACAACAACAACAACAAGATCAACAACATCCTGTCCATCCACAGCAACCAAACGCACAGCAGCTCCGATACCTTCAGGTATTACTGAGTAACCCTCACACTGTATGACACCAAGGGCATGCGAAGAGGGGCACACCGTAGCAAAAACGTATTTTTTTTGCAACACAGTGTCAACGCTGCTCCAGGCACTGCTACTAGTCCACCCTGAAAGGTGATAGGCTGTGCCGGGTAGGTCCTGAACTGTACAGAAAGAGCCACATGATCTATCAATCTGTAAATAATGTAGAGAAATCTAAACTGTGACTTTTTTTAAGATAAACTATCTCTGTTCCCTTCAACAGTACCAGCAGGTCCTTCAGCAGTCGATCCAGCTCCAACAACCACAGCAGCAGGCCCAGCTCCAACAACCACAGCAGCAGGCCCTGCTCCAACAACAGATGATGATGATGCAGCCCATGTATCAGCAGGCCCAGGCCCAGGCCCACTACACAGCCATGGTAAGAGCCAAGCCCATTGTCTGGTGTTGTCTAATTTGGCTTTATAAAGGAAATGCACCTTTTTTTTCCTAGTCTCTTATCAGCTTTACATGCTGACCAAACCGCCTCCGCATGTGGATTTTTTGTCTTATCCCCCCCACCAGGCACGTTCGTGACACGCAGGTTAAAATACCAAAACCAACTGTGAACCAACTGTATTAATTTGGGGGCGGGTCGAAACACACATGGAACATTCACGGACATTTAGCTAGTTTGCTGTTGCTAGCTAATTTGTGCTTGGAGATAAACCTTGGGTTATTTTACCTGAAATTTCTAGTCCTTTTTTTTACTGTTGGATCTTTGTAGAATTTTGACCCATTTTTAAGTCACACAAAATCATGTGATCTCTACTCCGACAATTAATCCACAGATAAAAATGGAAACCTAGTTCGTTTTCTTTGATTAAACTCTCCTGGTTCATTCTTCTGTGGATTTTATATAGCGGTTGGCAACCAACTTTAAGGTGCATTACTGTCACCAACTGGACTGGAGTGTGGACCTCGTTCATCTTTCAATCACCCTTGTGGGTTAGTATGCTCCTAAAAACCAATGAGTAGATGAGAGGCGGGACTTGCAGCGTGTCAAGCGTCCTATTTTAGCACCTGGCTACGCAGATGCCCGTTGACCCGCACAAGCAGTTTGGATGAAATGATTGAAAATCATGCATGTGTACATTTGTTTTGTAGTGCACTCAACGCGTGTGGTCAGCATGTTATCCCATGCGAATAACATGTATAGCAGCGAAACTCAACCTGCGGACCGCAGTACGGACCCAGAGAAGGGTCAATCCGGACTGGACAACATCGCATTTTGTTATATAAAAGTCAATACGTTATTTTTTAGACAGCTTTAAAAAATCAACCGGGCGCAGCGGCCTCACTTAACTCAGCAACCTCTGTCGCTCTCTCTCTCTCGATGCAACGGCCACCTCTACTAGTGTCTAATCCAATCGTGTGGTTATATGCAAATACAAGAGGCCACGTTTTACCCAATCACATTAATCAACCCTCTGCGGAACCTTGGGACAAGCAGGCGGAAAGAAACAGAAAGATCTTACCGCGGTTCAACTGTTAATATCACAGATAGAAGGAGCTTAGTTACCAGGATCAACTGTTAATATCACAGATAGAAGGAGCTTAGTTACCAGGATCAACTGTTAATATGGCTTGTTAAAAAAATAAAAAAAAGTTTACTCTGAAAACCGTATATTCAAAGACGAGTGGACGGAACAGTATTTATTAATTCTCCCTGCAACTAGCACAAAACCAATGATGCCTGACATGCAGTGAGTCCGTAGCTCTCCTGAAAAGCACCATTATGACACCAGGCATAGTAAACTGGATCAGACGTATCCCCTGAACACGGAGGTGAGAACAAACTGGATTAACCAACTCAACTCCCAATATGGGAGGTCCACCAAAGTCCTTGTCAATTCTCTGACAGCCCAACAACGTGTTATGGAGTGTTCACTGAGGATAGCATTGGGTTTTGGGAAAACACACACAACCATTTTCAGACGCTGAGATGGTAAAAGAAAGACGTGTGAAGTTGCTGACACATTGCTTGAAGGTAAACAAAAAGATGAGCTCAGGGAAGAAAATGTGTCTTTGAAGGAGCAGGCTGGTGATCGTGACCCCGTCCCTTTCTGGGGAAAGATGACGCCTGCAGCTGACGTCTCTGTTGTCAAGAATCTGCCACTAGACATCCTGACCATGTTTGGATCCACAGACAGCTGTGAATCAGCCTTCTCCACAATGAACTTTATTTTAAAAACAAATACCGCACCAGGCTCACCAATGAACACCTGCACCAGTGACTCAGTTGCGCTCACACCATTTTGTGCCAAAGTTCAAAGCATTGGCAGGAGACAGAAAGTGTAATTTCTCTAATTTAATGCAGGGCAAGGACCAGAGGGATTTATACATGAACACTGCATGGCCCACAGTGACGTTCTGTTCATTCAGATTATTATTGTTGTTCAACTCTCCTTTGTTCTCCAGAAAACATGCACTTTATTTTATTTTAAATATTATGTTTTATTCGAGGCCCATGTACAATGGTTCACAGTGCACTTTTTTGCATAGACAATTTATGCAACCACTTTTTTGTTCTTCAGCAATGTCGATGCAATGTTGCACGTGTTTACGTTCAAAATAAGTTTTTCTTAGTCTCATTTTAATGTATTTAATGTGCATTTTATATAACAACATGTTTCCTAAGTCGTAGACGACTATGTTTGTTACTACGCTGTACCTGATAAAGGACGACCTCCATCCGGACCTTTGCCACCTGGACCTTCTCAAATAGTAGTTGATTACCCCTGCTGTATAGCTACTTCCAGCGTTGAGGATTTGTGTGTTAATTTATTTTTTGAATGTTTCTTAAACACTCAGTGGCCTGAGTGTTCAGATGGAGAGTGTAGCAGACTGATTTTCCCCTTTTTGTATAATCGCTTCATATGTCACAATTTAACACGGCGACACACACACACACACACACACACACACACACAGCGAACCGGTGGAGTTCACCCCCCTCTCCTCTGCTATCCTCTGACTGTGGGGACGGAGCAGATTGCTGCTGAAATTAAACAGATGGGAACCGTTCGGTGGAATACAAGCTAAAAATGAATGTACAGTATGTATTTGGAGGGCTGGTGTTTGGCCACAGAGGGGTACGTAAACAGGATTTTTGGGATAAAGTTGACTATGAAGGAACTTCTGTTTTGCACTTGGAAAGCTTGGCAGAGAGTCCTGTTTTAGTGAGCAACGTTCTATGGTCATGTTTCTGTGCTCGTTTTGAGGCTGGAATTTAGGGCATTTGACACATAGTGAAATAGCCAGCTGGTTACCATCTTGGCCCGCTGCCCTGTTACAAACTGTGTTGTTGCACGCCACAACAAGAAATTGAAATTTACAGGTCAATCACTTGCAGTTTTTCGCCGTTATCAACTTATAATCAAAATATCTAACACCATTTTGCTGCTGATACCTCCCTTTCCTAGTTTTCCTATTGATCATACTTCTATGTATTGAATTCATACTGTCTATAACCATGTCTGTAAGCCATATTCATCATGACATCACCGTTAGTTACCTCCTTCCCTTCCCCTGTCAGATGCATCAGTACCAACAGGCTTTTGCACAACAACAACAACAACGCCAGCAACTACAACAACATCCCACCCAGCAGCCCTATGTCACCTCTCATCTGGAGTACCAGCTTCCCCTAGGCTCCTATAACCCAGCTGGGCCTGGGACTATGTCTGGGCCTGTGACTGGGCCTGTGACTGGGACTATGTCTGGGCCTGTGACTACGTCCCCTGTTGAGCCTCCATCCACTAACACCAGGTAAACATCCCTCACCTCATAACCTCAACTGTTTGTGCACTCCAATATCTATAAAATGTTCTCTCTCTCTCTCTCTCTGTCTCTGTCTCTGTCTCTGTCTCTGTCTCTGTCTCTGTCTCTGTCTCTCTCTGTCTCTGTCTGTCTCTGTGTGTGTGTAGAAACCATCTGGTGGACCTAAAGGTGACCACCCCTCCCCCCCAGACCCTGGTCACTCCCCAGAGCCACCCTCCTGACATGTCCCGCTGGAACCCCTTTGGAGAGGACAACTTCTTCAAACTCACAGAGGAGGAGCTGCTGGACCGAGAGTTCGACCGCCTCAGAGCAAGCAAGTGTCCCGTCTTTTACCTTCCCCCGTACCTCAACTGTTCCACCTCTGGCGCTGCTTTTCCTGCTCTTAGTTGCACTATAGAAGTTTCTCAGTTGTATCTATTCATTGCAATTCATTCTGCAAATGTTCTGTTACATTTCACTCCATTTAGTGACTACACCCCTGTCTAACGATCGTCTCCCCTCTCCGCCCTAACAGGTAAACCTGTGGAGAGAACCACTAGCCAGGAGGAAGACCGACCGCTGCAGCCAATCACCCCCGCCGCCAAGCCCCTCCTCCCCGAAGACCTGTTTGGCTCCTCCCCCTTCCTGGCCAGCGCAGGCAAGTCCCCTTCCTGTCTCGCCCCGCTCCAACAGGACCCAGAACTGTAGTATGGAACCACCCTTTTCTGTCTTCCTTCCCTTATACTTAAACCCCCAACTCCACTGTTCTGGAGACCCTAAACCAGGGGTGCCAAACACCAGTACTTAAACCCCCAACTCCACTGTTCTGGAGACCCTAAACCAGGGGTGCCAAACACCAATACTTAAACCCCCAACTCCACTGTTCTGGAGACCCTAAACCAGGGGTGCCAAACACCAATACTTAAACCCCCAACTCCACTGTTCTGGAGACCCTAAACCAGGGGTGCGAAACACCAATACTTAAACCCCCAACTCCACTGTTCTGGAGACCCTAAACCAGGGGTGCCAAACACCAATACTTAAACCCCCAACTCCACTGTTCTGGAGACCCTAAACCAGGGGTGCCAAACACCAATACTTAAACCCCCAACTCCACTGTTCTGGAGACCCTAAACCCAAGAGGTTGTGAAATCTGAGTAGCAGCACCCAACGATAAAGGATTATTCATTATGATCTGAAAGGCCTCTGCTGTTAGACGCTTTGTGACTACAGGCCCTTGGTGCGGAACTGCAGTCTTTTGGTGCAACAATATAGAGGATCTCAATGGTCATTATTAGCAAGTTAGACTTCGGAGAACAGAACAGTTAGTGTGTAACACCTCTTGCTAATGAAGAGGATGGTGAAGTAGTGATTTTATCGTTTAGTCACAAACCAGCAGTGAAAACGTCTAAATGTGTGACCGTTTAGCCATTTGCTGACATTTTGTAATTCTATTTCTTATTAAACTCATTTGAAACTAGCATATTGATATATTTTTCAGTGGCCTTAAGTCTCAAAAGCCCTGTTAAGGTCCTCTGTAGCTCAGCTGGTAGAGCACGGCGCTTGTAACGCCAGGGTAGTGGGTTCGATCCCCGGGACCACCCATACACAAAAAAAAAATATGCACGCATGACTGTAAGTCGCTTTGGATAAAAGCGTCTGCTAAATGCCATATTAGATTATTATATTATTAAGGAGATTTGCCTCAAATGTTTTATTGTTTGGGTTGGACTTTACTACCGACTAGTCTAGCTACCGTCCACCCCTCAAAATGTAATATTACAAGAATAGTGTAACTAAAATAACTCTTAATAATTATCGTTAGAATGTTTCTCCTATTATAATGATAAGGGTATTTGATGTGAATGTATCTCGTAACTGGTACGGTATTTCTCTTATTAGCTACTTGGACAGCTACGTTTGGTGGCAGCGGTCAGATCCCTACCTATGTTGACATATTTACATTTTAGTCATTTAGCAGACGCTCTTATCCATGAGCGACTTACAGTTAGTGAGTGCATACATTATTTTATTTTTCATACTGGCCCCCCGTGGGAATTGAACCCACAACCCTGGCGTTGCAAACGCCATGCTCTATCAACTGAGCTACATCCCTGCCGGCCATTCCCTCCCCTACCCTGGACGACGCTGGGCCAATTGTGCGCCGCCCCATGGGTCTCCCGGTCGCGGCCGGCTACGACAGATCCTGGATTCGAACCAGGATCTCTAGTGGCACAGCCTTAGACCACTGCGCCACTCGGGAGGCACTTCCTGCTCTGTAAATGTGAATTGGTTATGAGCCATTCTAACAAATAATCTAGATTAGTTATTTAAGATACACTATACAGTGAGGGGAAAAAAGTATTTGATCCTCTGCTGATTTTGTACGTTTGCCCACTGACAAAGAAATGATCAGTCTATAATTTTAATTGTATGTTTATTTGAACCTATAACCTATATACTTATTATGGACACAGTATGCTTTACATTAGTTATCTAGTTGTTATTAGTCCCATCCTTCATCTCCATTCAACACCTCCCATCTCTCTCTTAACACCATCCATATAGGATTTCTATTTGCCATATATTTTTCAACTGTACTGTGATGTTTTACAAAAGTTCTGAACCCTTCTATTCTCATTGTTTCTACAGATTGTAAATTGAAAATAAACATTTTTGCTAAAAGTATTATTATATTATTGATCGATTGACTATGACTTTTCAGATCACCCAGTAGTGCTATCTGCAAGGTTAGCTCCAGGTAAATATTGCAATCCTTTAGCCATTCCTGGACCTGTGTCCAAAAACAAGCTACAAATGGACAGAACCAAAACAAATGATCTAATGATTCTGTCTCTTCGCAGCAAAACCTGCAGAGCTGGGAAGATTGTATCCCCCATATAAATAACATTCTATAGGTAGCAAGAATTTTGTATAATAATTTAAATTGAGAAATTCGAAGTTTTGAATCCGGCGTCGTTTTGCGTATCAGTTCATAAACACTATGTCATGGAATCGGTACGTAAAAAATCTCTTCCCAACTATTTTGCAATCTATATGGGACAGCTGTCAATCCTTTGGTCCTTAAATGAAATTGGTATACTTTTTTTATTTATCACAATTTTCTTTAACCAATTATGCAGGGCCGACAGATAAGTTCCTTACTTTTTCCCCCTTCCACTTTCCTCTTCCATTTTTGCGGTAATGCTGCAATTATTTGGTTGTAATTTTGGGTAGAGCAGACATTTCCATATGTTTTTGTTAGCTGCATGTGCGACATAACTCCACTAGTCCTACCTATGATATCATTTACGAAGATTATACCTTTTTTATTTATTTCAATGTTCCATTTAAAAAAAAAATGTATTAGTATATTTTTGTTTAACCACTATTTGTTGCGTTATTTGTTCTGTCGTTTCTGGAGGATTAAATTGAAACTGCAACCAACTTTCTATGGCTTGTTTTAGAAATAGTGATATTTGGGAGATTTCCTTTTCAAATAACTGAAAGTGAGAGGTTGTAATCTGAATAAAGGGAAAAGGGCCATTCTTGAACATTAGAGACAATCTTACTAATTTGCTATAGAACAAGTTTGGATTTAAGTATAACTTTTGTATGATTGAAGCTTTTAGTGATAGGTCTAACGCTTTAATATTTAATAATTTCTGTCCTCCAAATTCATATTCATTATGTAAATAGGCTCGTTTAATTTAAAAAACTGTTCGCTAGGCGTAGGCAAGACCATAAGCAAATAGGTAAACTGGGATGATACTAAAGAGTTTATCAGGGTGATTTTTCCACAAATTGACAGGTATTTACCTTTCCATGGTAGCAAGATCTTATCTATTTTTGTTAACTTTCTATTAAAATTTATTGGAGTGAGATCATTTATTTCCTTTGGGATATGTATTCCGAGTATATCCACATCACCATCAGACCATTTTATTGGTAAACTACATGGTAATGTAAAAATTGTATTTTTTTAGTGATCCAATACGTAATATAGTACATTTATCATAATTTGGTTGTAATCCAGAGAGGTTAGGAAAGGTATCTAGATCCTCTATGAGGCTGTGGAGGGATTCTAGTTGTGGATTTAAAAGAAAACATGAATCATCAGTGTACAATGACACCTTTGTTTTTAAGCCCTGGATTTCTAATCCCTTGATATTATTGTTGGATCTGATTTTTAATAGCTAACATTTTGATGGCCATAATAAATAGATATGCCGATAGTGGAGAACCTTGTTTCACTCCTCGTGACAGTTTAAAACTTTTACACCTTGGGTTACAATACATGATGTTAACCCATTTTATAAGAGATTCTCCAAAATTGAAATGCTCCAGGCATTAATATATAAACCCCAGTCGTACTTTATCAAATGCCTTTTCGAAGTCTGCTATGAATAGCAGGCCTGGTTTCCCAGATGTTTCATAATGTTCTATTGTTTCCAGAACTTCCCTTATATTATCTCCAATGCATCGTCCATGTAAAAAAAAAAAATGTCTGATTAGAATGAAAAATGTCCAACAATACCTTTTTAATTCGATGCGCTATACATTTTGCTAGAATTTTTGCATCACAACACTGAAGTGTAAGGGGCCTCCAATTTGGACTATTTTGTGTATGTCCATTACATGAAATCCAAATAAAAATCAATTTAATTTACAGGTTGTAATGCAACAAAATAGGAAAAACGCCAAGGGGGAATGAATACTTTTGCAAGTCGTCTTTGTACCAGTAATTATATAATTTAATTTAGTAACAACATTCTCTTGTCAAACCAACAGGTTCTAGTGTGAGGATGACAGATCAGCCTATTGAAGAGCTCAGTATCCCAGTCGCTGCCCTCGTACCTGTGGGCCAGCCAGCCCTTGAGGAAGAGCTGCAACCTCCGATGGCAAAGGAGCACAAACCAAGTAGGAGGAGAAACTCTCCTGCCGGCGGTTCACAAACGACTCGCAAACCAGGGGGAGATGAATCAGACAGTGACTTTGAGTCAGATCCTCCTTCCCCTAAGAGCAGCGAGGAGGAAGATGAGCCGGAGAAGGACGAAGGTCTGAACAACGAGCACAGAGAGTTCTTCAACGAACTGGAAGATGTGGAGGAAACAGAGATGCTGGGACATAGGCCTCTGCTGATGGACTCAGAGGCTGAGGAAGAGTACGACAAACACAGCTCTGACTCGGACTATGAACCCAGGAAGGTTAAGGGAGGACGTACTAGGAGGCTAAAAGGAGGAGTGGCGGCAGATGCGGCTACTGCCACCCATGAGGGAAGTCCGAGAGTGGAGTCAGAAGACACTCTAATCATGATAACGCCTCCCGAGTCGCCAGGTGTGGTGGCTGTTAGACTGCCCCCTAGTGTCGGTGGCATTGTGGACGTGTTTGGTACGGATGTGTTTGGTGCTGTGCCCTTCTTTCCTCCAGCGGCAGCCCCGGCAGAAAGCGCAGACATCTTCTCCGCGGCTCCCTTCAGGCAGGCGAGCCAGGAGGCCATAGTCAACCAGCCCGACCAGGCCATGGAAGAGTTAGACGTCTTTACTAAGGCTCCGTTCAGCCGGAACCTCTCCAAATCTGGCAAGACCGGAAGCAGCGACTTCTTCTCTATGGGTCGGACTCTGCCGGTGTCCCCTGAAATCATCGACCCGTTCGGCTTCTCCCCCTTCCAGCCCGGCCCCACGGCTCCGCCACCATCCACCTCCAGGAGCGCCGAGGACATCTTCCGTCCGGCCTTCGAGGATTCTCCCAGCCCCGAGCAGCAGAGGCTGAAGCAGCGCAGCCTCCAGAAGCTGTCTTCACGGCAGAGGAAGCTCTCTGCCGGCACTGGCGGTGGCAGCAATGGCAAGCGCCACCACAGCACGCCCACCGGCGGCCGCAGGAGCAACAAGCCCAGCTTCCGTACGCCGGAGCGTGTCCGCCGGCACAAGAAGGTTGGCAGGAGGGACTCTCAGAGCTCCAACGAGTTCCTCAGCACCTCGGACTCCAAGGAGAACATCAGCGTCGGCAGTGTAACGATGGCCGACACCGGCAAAGACAAAGGGGCTTCCCTGCCTAGCCTTCCCAGTGAGGTCGACCCAATCTTGGACCCCTTCGGAGCCAATCCCTTTGGTCCTCAGGATGGCAGCCGACTTAACCAGGGCCAGTACCAAGGTCTTCTGGGGGATGGCAAAGCAGACATGGGTTCGGCCAATGGCAGGCCTCGGACTAGCTCCCTCCACGATGCGCTTGGGGACGGGAACATCATGGATGACTTTGGGGCGGTACCCTTCACAGAACTGGTGGTCCACCCTGGGCCTCAACAGCAGCCGTCACAGCCAGTGGAGCTGGACCCCTTCGGGGCTGCGCCTTTCCTTTCCAAACAGTGAATGTCTTCCTAGTCTTCCCGACACACACACTGCTGTGTTACACCAAGCCTATGGAGTCCCGGGGAGAAATTCCCTTCCAAGGGATGGCAACAAGCTTGGTGGTGTGGTAGTTGATTATCTTTTCAGCCAAATTTAACCGCGACCGGCAACTGCGCTAATGAGTGTTTCCAATGCTTTTCCCCCCCTAATGGATATTTTAATACATTAATAACTGGACTTTGGGATTAACAAAACCAACGTAAACCTGTGGATTATGGGCGATTTTATTTCAGTTCTGTATGCATTTCCTGTACCTGTTTGCTGACAAGCCTTTTATGCTGCATCACACTGAGACATGGAGATCGATCCGGTTTCACTCAAGATCGTACTGTGTAAAACAACAAGCTCGCTCAGTGATCGACTGCTTGAGTTGCTGCAAAAACAACACCTTTTGTATAGATTGTGGCCTCCTTCATGATCTACCAATAAGATTGATTAATTTAGCACCATAAAGCCTTATGGGCATGGCTCCGCCTTGCTGCACAGTTACCTTGGAAACCATTGTCTAAGCAAATGGCTAACGTTGCCTTTTGTGTCAACTGAGTAATTCCTTTAAGAGTAGGCCTTTATCATTTCACCCTACTTAGACCCTTTTCATTTCTATGCATATTTTTACATTTAGTCTATTTACAGTAGATACAGCTAATTTGTTTTGGATTTTTATTGCACTTTTATTATTTAGGAAATGTTTCATTTTAGGTTTGTTTCCAGACTTAACCTGTCAGTAAGTACTGTTCGATGTGATCTTTTACCTCAACCCAATTTTTTTTAAATCGTTATATAATTTTTGAATAAGGGGAAAAACACAACCCATTTTCCCACACGCCGATACTGAATCTAATCTAGATCAGACTACTTCCACCTCTTGAGACAGTCTCCTATCTTTCATCTGTCGGGAACATAAGCCATGCCAAAGCAGGTCTGGTGTCCAAAATGTTTTACATTTATGCACTTTCAGCATCAACTCTTCCATTGTCTAGTAATAATGGCAATTATGAATCTGAGGTTACAGAAAGGACAAATATGTTGCTGTCTGATAACCTCGTAAGTCAATAATTTTTTTTTTTTTTTTTTACATGTATTGAAACTCTCAATGTACTCTCAACATTTCATGACTCGGACCAAGAAGCTATTCAAAATAGCTTCTGAAGTTTTCATAATTGTATGTTCATTAATGGGAATTTTTTTGAATTTTTTGAATTTCCTGAAAAGTTTGTTTAGGAGATGAGGTTCTCAGACAGTGACGATATGTACCTACCTTTGGCACATTAACTTTGACTTAAAAAGCTGGTAGCTGCCTTTTCACCTATCCTATGGAACCATGTGATTTAATATTTTAACATGTTTCATTTTTATTTAAGGTTCATCTTGTTTTGTATTTATCATGCTATACTGCTGTCTAATAATGCAATATTTTTGGGAGGATTAAATGTGTATTGTCCTTGGAAAGTAATGTAATGCAAATTTCTAGCAATATTGATTTTATTCATAACCCAAGTTTGAGTAATAAAGTATAAAACATACAAAAAAAAGAAAAGGGATGGCTGCCGTTTTACGGGCTCCTAACCAATTGTGCTATTTTGTGTGTTTTTTCGCGTTGTTTGTAACTTATTTTGTACATAATGTTGCTGCTACCGTCTTATGACTGAAAAGAGCATCTGGAAGAGCTCGTACAATCATTGGATAACAAAATAGACGAGCTACAATCACAAATATCCTACCAACGGGACATTAAAAACTGTAATATCTTGTGTTTCACCGAGTCGTGGCTGAACGACGACATGGATAACAAACAGCTGGCAGGTTATACACTGCATTGGCAGGATAGAACAGCCGCCTCCGGTAAGACAAGGGGTGGCGGTCTGTGTATATTTGTAAACAACAGCTGGTGCACGATATCTATTATTAAGGAAGTCTCAAGGTTTTGCTCGCCTGAGGTAGAGTATCATGATAAGCTGTAGACCACACTATTTACCAAGAGAGTTTTCATCTATATGTTTCGTAGCTGTCTATTTACCACCACAAGCCGATGCTGGCACTAACACCGCACTCAACGAGCTGTATAAGGACATAAGCAAACAAGAAAATGCTTGTCCAGAAGCACCGCTCCTAGTGGCCGGGGACTTTAATGCAGGCAAACTTGAATCCGTTTTACCTAATTTCTACTAGCATGTCACTGGGAAAAAACTAGACCACCTTTACTTCACACACAGAGACACGTACAAAGCTCTCCCTCGCCCATCATTTGGAAAATCTGACCATAATTCTATCGACCTAATTCCTGCTTACAATCGAAAACTAATGCAGGACGCACCAATGACTCGCTCAATACAGAAGTTGTCAGATGACGCGGATGCTACGCTAGAGGACTGTTTTGCTAGCACAGACTGGAATATGTTCCCGGGATTCATCCAACGGCATTGAGGAGTATAACCACTTCAGTCACCGGCTTCATCAATAAGTGCGTCAACGACGTCCCCCCCCCACAGTGACCGTACATACAGTGGGGAGAACAAGTATTTGATACACTGCCGATTTTGCAGGTTTTCCTACTTACAAAGCATGTAGAGGTCTGTAATTTTTATCATAGGTACACTTCAACTGTGAGAGACGGAATGTGAAACAAAAATCCAGAAAATCACATTTGTATGATTTTTAAGTAATTAATTTGCATTTTATTGCCCCTCAGGAGATTTGGCATGGGTCCCCAGATCCTCAAAAAGTTATACAGCTGCACCATCGAGAACATCTTGACCGGTTGCAACACCGCCTGGTATGGCAACTGCTCGGCGTCCGACCTTAAGGCGCTACAGAGTGTAGTGCGTACAGCCCAGTACGTCACAGGGGCCAAGCTTCCTGCCATCCAGGACCTCTATACCAGGCGGTGTCAGTGGAATGCCCTCAGTTATAGACTGTTCTCTCTGCTACCGCACGGCAAGCTGTACCGGAGTGCCAAGTCTAGGTCCAAAAGGCTCCTTAACAGCTTCTACCCCCAAGCCATAAGACTGCTGAACAATTAATTAAATGGCCACCTTTGTTTTTACACTGCTGCTTCTCGCTGTTTATTATCTATGCATAGTCACTTTACCCCTACCTACATGTACAAATTACCTCGACTAACCTGTACCCCCGCACATTGACTCGGTACCGGTACCCCCTGTATATAGCCTCATTGTTATTTTGTTACTTTTTAAAATTTTATATATTTTTTTATATATATACTCTACCAGTCAAAAGTTTAGACACGCCTACTCATTCAAGGGTTTTTCTTTATTTGTACTATTTTTTACATTGTAGAATAATAGTGAAGACATCAAAACTATGAAATAACACATATGGAATCATGTAGTAACCAAAAAAGTGTTAAACCAATCAAAATATATTTTATATTTGAGATGCTTCAAATAGCCACCTTTTGCATTGATGACAGCTTTGCACACTCTTGGCATTCTCTCAACCAGCTTCATGAGGTAGTCACCTGGAATGCATTTTAATTAACAGGTGTGCCTTCTTAAAAGTTAATTTGTGGAATGTATTTCCTTCTTAATGCATTTGAGCCAATTAGTTGTGTTGTGGCAAGGTAGGGGTGGTATACAGAAGATAGCCCTATTTGGTAAAAGACCAAGTCCATATTATGGCAAGAACAGCTCAAATAAGCAAAGACAAACGACAGTCCATCATTACTTTAAGACATGAAGATCAGTCGATCCGGTAAATTTCAAGAGCTTTGAATGTTTCTTCAGGTGCAGTCGCAAAAACCATCAAGCGCTATGATGAAACTGGCTCTCATGAGGACCGCCACAGGAATGGAAGACCCAGAGTTACCTCTGCTGCAGAGGATAAGTTCATTAGAGTTACCAGCCTCAGAAATTGCAGCCCAAATAAATGCTTCACGGAGTTCAAGCCACAAACACAACTCAACATCAACTGTTCAGAGGGGACTGTGTGAATCAGGCCTTCATGGTCAAATTGCTGCAAAGAAACCACTACTAAAGGACACCAATAAGAAGAAGACCTGCTTGGGCCAAGAAAAACGAGCAATGGACATTAGACCGGTGGAAATGTGTCCTTTGGTCTGGAGTACAAATTGGAGATGTTTGGTTCCAACCGCTGTGGCTTCGTGAGACGCGGTGTGGGTGAACGGATGATCTCTGCATGTGTAGTTCCCACCGTAAAGCATGGAGGAGGAGATTATATGGTGTGGGGGTGCTTTGCTGGTGACACTGTCTGTGATTGATTTAGAATTCAAGGCACACTTAACCAGCATGGCTACCACAGCATGCTGCAGCGATACGCCATCCCATCTGGTTTGGGCTTAGTGGGACTATCATTTGTTTTTCAACAGGACAATGACCCAACACACCTCCAGGCTGTGTAAGGGCTATTTGATTTGTTTTTTTGGTTACTACATTATTCCATATGTGTTTTTTCATAGTTTTGATGTCTTCACTATTATTTTACAATGTAAAAAATAGTAAAAATAAAGAAAAACCCTTGAATGAGTAGGTGTGTCCTTTATGAATACAGGCCCAGATCCGATGTGCTAACAAACCCTTGTGTGTAAATCCGCTCCAGAAAGGAGCGTCTACTGTACTGTAGTATTTATAATTATTGAACATCACAGAAATTAAATAATCGCAAAATCAGAATCATTAGCTTGTCATTCTGCAACTTTTCAAGATGAAATATTGCACATTTGCAAGACTCAACATAGTTTTACATTGTCATTGCACATAACCCTAGTAGGTTTAAGAAGTACAAAGAAATCCCAGTATTCAATCAAAGATGTGTTGTCGACTACTATGTACTACTACTACTACTATATAGTTCATTTTCTGCGAACATTGGGAAATTACATTTAGAAGATGCATTGTGGAGTGTGCAAAGCTGTCATCAAGGCAAGGGTGGCTAATTTGAAGAATCTCAAATAAAAAAAATATTTTGATTTGTTGAACACTTTT